TATAATGATCCATATCATTTTTTTGGGTGGGACGGGGGGAGGTGAGACCTCTGGCTGTCCCTCGTTTGAAATGCCAGGCAGTAAATAATTTGAATAAGCAGGAATGATTACAAATAAATAAAAAGTGTAATTTAAAATTATCTTGCAGTTCTGAACCACCACCACTGGAGGGCTATTCTCTGAACTTATTTCTCATTAGATAAATTTGGAAACTGCAATGTGGAAACCAGGAATAAACAATCAGTATTTTTTCATGAGCTCATTAAATTCAAGTTCATTATAGAAAATACTATTCTGTCAATTATATCACATTGTATTCCCAAGTTTTATATACCTGTTTCCTAAGCAAATATATAAATACAATGACTAAGGAACAGTAGGCAATAATTAAATGTTATGCTAAATGCAACTGAACTAAAGCGATAGGTATAATTAGTGTGGCTATGCAGTGCTTTGGATTCAAAAGAAAATATGGTGCTACAGTGGGAGCAGGGACATTCACATAGCATCCATCTCCAACTCATCAAAGCAGCTGCATCTTTTCTCAGAATCAATGGCGACCAGGAAAATAGATGCTGAAGGAGTTTCAGATAGGTACTACACTCATAAATTGTAGAGTCATTTCTGGAAAAAGCCACAAAAGCACTATTGCCTGCAGTGGTTTCCATTTCTATTACAGGACCTCCAGATTGACTAATTCAGTGTAATTGTTTATTATAGAATACAATAAATTTTGAAACCAGTATTTCAAATGTAAAAGCCTACCAATTACTTTTAATTAATGTCTACACACTTTTATATTCTAAAAAGCAGTCATCTTGAAAATGTAATCCGTAAGTTTCCTTACTCCTCTATTTCTCACCCTATTCATGAACTGAACCTCAGCATTATTCTAATAAATGGCAGGCCCAACTGCTTTAATCCCAAGTTTGACCTAAACACACATATAAAATGGAGTGAAGGTATCACTGTAGGGAAAAAAGGGGGGGCAATGCTGAATCCTCTCCCTAACAGCTTATTTTTCTATAGGGTATAATTCACTTCTCTACTCAAAAGAGAGTCACTGAGAAAAGTGCTCTGGGAGGAAGGTGGTATGAGGAAAAGAGCAAATACAGGGCAACTTCAACTTTTACTGACCTCATTGAGTTTACATAATGATAGACAGATACTGCATACCATTTAGAGATGCCTATTTTGTCACTTTCTTTCCAATGTTATTTCTATCACTATCAAAGTATCATCTTCCAAATTAATGGCAGATACACACCCCCACAGTACAGTATTATGCATTGAGAATATTTTATACTCCCTTGATGAGTTTATTCCTGTCAAGACAGTTTTAAAAAAGAAAATACTAACCTGTTTTCAATCTGAGAATGAACATTTTGCCACCTCTCCGTTAACTGATCTGCTTTCTCTTTGTGCCAGTCAAAGTCAAGATCACGTTCCTTGTGTGTTTTAAACATCTGATCACTAATTGCTTTCGCTTTCTGGAGTTCATCTTCTAAGGCATGGAATACTTCTCTTTTTTCATCAACTTCAGCTCTCCATTGCTAATGAATAAAGTATGTGATGACAAACAGATAATATTGTTCCTAGTGGCATCTTCCCAAATGCCGTATTCAGGCTCCAAACCCAACCCTCCCCAATGTATCAGACTGCCATTACTATTCTCAATCAACATGGTCAATCAATATGCTAGGTAAGGACAGTAAGAACTATAATTCACACATTTGCGAGTTAATAGATAAGAGAAGACTACTACATTATAATCAATCATGGGGATATACTTTAGTATGTCAAACAAACATATTCACTTTACTAAATATTGCCAAATACATGTAATGTTATAATATTTACAATATTCTTATCATGTGGCATGGAGACACAATTAAGTATTCCAGAGCTTATTCCATAGGAAGCTAATATTTTTCAATGTTCCCAACCGGTAGAGAAAATGAGTGCAAGGAGAAAAGCCTAGGCTACAACTTCATTTTTCCTGGAAAAAATGTCTTTATTATGGATATAAGGCAAGAAAAGGGAAATAACTTTTTTAACAGATTACTTCAACTATTTTTGTCTTTAAGACCAGAGAGTGGAAGAAAGACTTCAATATTTGATATTGGCAGCTTTGGACTGTTCTTTATGATCAGTCAGTGTAATACGTAGCTCAGTTTCCAATAAAGGGATACAATGGAATGACATCTACAATCATTTGAACTGATTATATTTTATCAGCCATTTATCTGTGATTCCAATTCCACTTTCACATTTGCAAGTATTCACTCTCTCAAAATGAGGGGTTCTTGGTGCTCTCTGAGCTTGTTTGTTTTCTTGCAGATGTTTCATTACCCTAACTAGGTAACATCATCAGTGCTAGTAAGCAGTGCTGTTTGGTGTCTGTTTATATTCTGGTGCCTTGCTTGTCTGGGTGGGTGGTCTTAGGGATTCTTTGGTTGGGCTATTTACTAATGGTTCTGTGGCAATTTCTTGATTGGGGTGTTGCTTCCTTGATTGTTGGTCTGAAGGTGATCTTGGAGTTAATCTATGCTGATCTGAGTGCTGATTACTGGTGGAGTCTTTTTCTCTTTGGGGCTGGTTGAGTGTCTCTTTTGCATAATCTATAGGTGTTGTTAATGTCTATGTGTCTATTGATGGCTAATTTGTCAAAATGCCAGGCTTCTAGAAATTCCCTGGCATTTTTGGATTTGGCCTGGTCTAGGATTGTCACATTTTCTCAATTGAAACTATGGTTAAATCTGTCTGTCATGGTTCTGAAAGTAGAAGCATCGGATGTTCTTGCTTGACACTGTCTATATGTTGTGAAAATAAAGAATTTTTGTCATGCCTTTTGACTGCCAGTTAGTGTTCATGAAAACCAGTAATCAGCACTCAGATCAGCATAGATTAACTCCAAGGTCACCATCAGACCAACAATCAGAGCCATTAGTAAACAGCCCAACCAAAGAATCCCCAAGACCACCCCCACCCATCCAGACAGGCAAGATACCAGAGTATAAACAGACAGCAAACAGCACTCCTTACTAGCACTGATGATGTTACCTAGTTGGGGTAATGAAACATCTGCAAGAAAACAAGCAAGCTCAGGGAGCACCAAGGACCTCTTCATTTCAACCCTGAGCTACAAATATTCTCCTTCACTGGTACTCTCTCAAAAGTCACTCATTATGTAGCTTGCAAAGTGCTTTATCTTAACATAATTAAAAGGCATATTAATACCAATACCAAATTAATACCCATATTCATACCTTCAGTGTGCCCATCAGGTTCTCAATATTGCTCTTGTCAGCAGTTAATGGGTCTTCCTCACAAAGTTTAGTCTCATACTGTTTTACTAGAGTTTCAGCTCCTTGAGTGTTTTTGAGCACCAAATTTACGGTTTTTAACCTGAAACAAATAAAACGTGTGCTAATAACCTTTCAAAATAACGTTTTCAAAATATTTTAATATATCTGAATTCAATTTAATTCTATCCATTTGAAAGAAGAAATCGGCCTTTCAACATTCACGTTTTCACACAGCTATTTTCATAGCTAAAAAATATTGCTACAATAACAGTGATCATGTCCAATAAAAGACCTTACTTACTTTTCTATGTAAATGGAAGACATGGAATAAACCTGATTCATGTTCTGAATGACAAGATTAAGTTCAGAGCGCAGAGTTGGGACCGAAGGGGAACCAGCAGCTTGGCTGAAGAAATCATTGCATTTATCTGTGATTGTTTCCAAATCATCTTTGAGTCGATCCAGTTCCTTTTTGAGCTTCTACAGAAAAAAAAGGGTGAGGCTTATTTTCATATAGTAAAGGATTCTCACAAATCATATACTTAAACTAAAGGAAGAGCATGAGCTGAAGTCCCTAAGAACCAAAGCAACAGCTACAATAGCATAATACCAGCCTTGATCCAACTTGGGAGGACTGATTAACACCTCCCTCCCTCCCTGCCAGCTTATTCCTTACTACTGTATTGGTTGGTTAAGATGTCCATCATTTCTTTTTTTGTAACCGTTTGTAAATGAAAGAGCACAACAACATGAAAGCCTACATTTTTTTTTCTCTTTTTCTCCCTAATTAGAAACCTATCTCCAACTCCATATTAATTTCTGATGTAATGGTTTAGGCCAGGGGTAGGCAACCTTGGCTCTTTTATGACTCGTGGAGTTCAACATGGCTGGCTCAGGAATTCTGGGATTTGAAGTCCAACGAGTCATAAAAGAGCCAAGGTTGCCTACCCCTGGTTTAGGCCATAGGTGTCCAAATGTTTGGCTTGCTCAGACTGCATTGAGTGAAGTGGAATTGTCTTTGGCAATTATAGTTAATGTACATAAATAAGAAAAATCCTTTATTATTATTTTTTACAATCTGGACAGCTAGTAATTACACATTACTAGCTGTCCAGGACCATATGCAGCCTGTGGACCAGGAGTTGGACATGCCTGGTTTAGGTCCTTGGTTTGTTTGTTTTTTCTTCCCAAAAGTGGTTATGTGAACAACTTGGCATAAAACATTATGTGATAACTGTAACATTTCCAAATATAAAAGATACAGCACTGTTTTTAATTCTATCTCAGGTGTATTTCAAGAAAAGTCACATGGAAAGTATGTCCTAACTAAATGTATTTCATATTGACCACATTGTCATATCTAAGTTTGCACACTATCCTAAACTGCAAGCTGTAGAATGATAAACCAACTATGTTCACAAATTATAAGCCAATCCTCATAATGTTGTCTCAATTTTGGCACCATAATTTGTATTTGTGTTTGTGTCTGAATGATCTTCATCTGACCAGGTCAAATGAAACTATCAGAGGATTCAGAAAGCAAGAAGGCCCAATTTCTTTTCTTTACTTTACGAGTAATGATAGGGTTGGGAGGAAATAGTAACAATCTGGATTGGAACTGTGCCTGATTAGGAAGG